CTCCCATCGACATCCCGATGCGACTTTCAAACATAGGCCGTGATCTGAAGTCCGAAAGAAAGTAAGCCATGTGTCAGAATCGCGAGTCCTCCACTATGTCCCGAATAGTATGTAAGTCACGCACTTTAAAGTCTCTCACACGACCGGGAAAAACTACAAACCGATAGGCTGATAATCGGGGTAAAAAAACCGCTTAGAGAAGCACGTTTTGAAGTAAAAAACAGAAGAAAAGGAGCACTAAACTTCAAACTATCCGAAAAAATCTGCGGGATAAGCTGACTGAGACGTGATCGCGAGCACACTGAAACCTCAATTTCAGGTGCGAATCATCCGCATCTTATGTAAATATTTACTAGTTGTTAGTGATAAAGTACTTACTGTGATACGAAGATTTGAAGATTCGGTGGATAGGAGATACGCTATAACACTCAGTAATCAGTCTATCTTTAGTCTACCGTAAATATAAACGTTAATATACATCTACGGTAATCGTCACTCTAAGCATCTCGCAGACTGAAAATCAGCGTATTCGCAATACGCGATATGCGCGACTTTGTATACGTACAATCATAAGTCTTCTAAAGGAAATAATATTAAGCATCCTAAATCTCACACATATCGTAATTCATTCTCCATGTGCTTTGTGCCTCTACTAAGTATGCAAATTGAGAAAAAAAATCAGGAAGTAGAATTCTGAACAATCGCTGCCGATAAGAGGGCTGGGGGAGGGAGGGAGGATGGTGGTGGTTGTCAGGGCGGGTAAAAATTCAGCATTGAGGACTCGCGATTCTGACACATGGCTTACTTTCTTTCGGACTTCAGATGACGGCCAATGTTTGAAAGTCGCATCCTCTTGCGCAAATATCGTGCCTAGAAATCGTAAGAATATGGGTTGTCTATAAGCGCAATATATTAAAATAATGAATACCGGCACAAGGTATGATCCACTTGCATCTCTGAATACTGCAATTTAAGTCTTTCCACTTTATTCCATCCGCATAATCCGAAAAAATGGCTCAAATCCAAGGAAACGTGGACTTTTCTCGATTTTTCCCCGATGATGTGGCAACGCCGTGCCGCGATGGGAGGTTCTGTAGTTAGATAAATGTATGTAATTACTAGTGATTTGGCCGTAACATATGAAAAATGAAGGTTTTTGGACTTTTCTGAATGAGCTCGACGAGAAATAGCCCCCAAATACTGAAATAAGTACTCGGTTTTCTATGATTTTAGGCAATGAAATATGGCAACACCGGCTTTTTGGGGGGGCTTTAAATCGGAAAAAGTTCTTAGAGGAAGGTTTTGACCACCCACGACCATTTTCTGCCAAAAAAGTTTAATTCTGGTGTAAGATGAGTCGCCTTTTTTAAGCCATTTTAAATAATGATGTAAAACAAGAAAAATTCTAAAAAGTTTTTTTTAACTATGAGCGCAAAGTTTGACATCGACGAAAATTGGCCAAAGTGACTCTCTTACATCCCTAATGAACATACTTGAAGGATTTTTTTGTCCTCCGAAGGGATCGTTACGAAACAGCGCGTCGAATGCTGAAAAACCCGCATTTTTCGCCAAAATTGGTCTTCAGACCCATGTTTAGGCCAGTGGTAGACCCCGAAATAGACCGGAAATGACAAAATCATTGTGCATTCCGTAAAATATAGACCTTCAATGACCAAAAAATCGCGGAGTTGAGGAATTTTAGGGTGGGGCCAAAAAAGGCCCTTAACGATACCCCTCCTTTTGAGGCAAGTTAGACCCTGAAAACTCAAAAATTAATATAGATATAAGGGTGTAGAAGTTTCAATATAAGAATTCTTAGGTTTTAGGTGTTTTAGGATTAAAATTTTGGTTAGGAATCCTGACGAGCACACAGAAATAGAGCAGCCTGCGTCTTTTGTGGTGAGAATATTAAAGTATTTATCTGCGCGTGGCTTGTTCCGGAGATTTCTTCATAGCGTTTCCCTTTGAGAACTCAAAATTACCAATTTTTACTTTTCCCCCTAAATTCGGCTATCCTGGACAGCTCACTCCCGGAAGATAAGGTCCCTTTTCACAGATCGCGTCACAAATTCTCGTAAATATTGCTGTGCTTAGGGAAAACGTAGTTCGAACGTCATACGTTGCCGATTTTCCCCTGATAAAAAATATATTTTGAAAGGAAGTTATGCACATTTCCTCTTTTAATGTGTAGATATATTTTAAATTCAATTTGGAACAAAATTGTCTGAAAAGTTGAAAGAAAATTTTACATCTTTTGGCACTTTGTGTAATATAAAAAGATATTGCGGAGCGCCTGACCTGAAGGTTCATGCGGTGTTCTTCCTCAGCACAGTAGAATACGAAACATAAAAGTTTGGAAGTATTCCCATTGGTTTTCTCGTTGGATTTCATCCGAGAAAACCTCTTTGTTTAAAACGTGACGAGATGAACATAAAAATCTGCAGATCGAGTAAAAAATAATTGAGTAAAAAATTATAAATGCTCTGCCCTGGAACATCAAACAACAACTCCGCGATGGTGAAGTAAAGAAGTTCTTCAATTTACTTCGGATTTTCCTCTTAACCAAGGCATTTTATGATATAAACGAATTTCTGACTTCAGCTGTTGAATAACATTCCACCAACCACCACTTAATTTAACATTTTACAATTATAATTTATATTTTTAATTATTGTATATTGTAATTCCTAGTGTTTTAAGCGCTCAGCCGATAGGCAGCGCTTTTTGATTTCGACTTGCCTCTAGAATACTAGTATACTAGTCCTAATTCGTTTAAATGGCGCACCAGCTCATCGATGTGTAGGCTTTTTGGGGGGGGGGGGTCCAGTTTTAAAAAAAATAAAGCTGTGATAATCGTATTTTATGCTTTTAACGTAATGCGCGGATAGGTACGATCGTTTATCAATAAGAAATTTCCTTAGCGGTAGAGTAATTCTTATCGAAATTGATCGTTGAAAATAAAAGAAGCCTAAAAAAACGCGCCTGATGAGCTCAACGGTGGCTATCATTTTCGGGAAACGAAAAAACGCGTTTACTGTTTCCTTGGTAACCTTTGTTTGCTATCAGCCCAGCCAAGTCGACGGAGTTTATACTTCCTTTCTTCACTAAATACATTTACTAACACCTGAGCGCTATTCTAATACGACAGTATTAGAACTTTCCCGCTTGTTTTGACTTGTGCCATAGCTCCAATAATGAGGCTTTTGCGTAATTAAATATAATAAAAATAAATAGATAAATAAATATAAATAGATAAATAAATGAATAAAAATATAATTTTTGACGTCTCCGAACAGGTTATCCCACAGTGCGCGCGCCGCATCGGATCCTTTATCCGAATATCCTAAACGCCGGCGGGAAAGGGACTCGGGAACGTAAACTTACTCCGTCACTATTTTGTCATTTGTAACTTTTCACATGCCGCGTGGACGGCTCGGCTCTTGTTTTTCCGCGCTCCTTTCACGCTGTTGTCGGGTGTTTACCCACCTCCGGACGGATTTACAATTTGAAGGAAAACACCCGCGAGAGTTCGCTTTGATTTATCTCCCTCCAATTCGTGTCTTCCTCCGTCGATTCTTTTAAAATTAGCCCCAATACCCGGATGTGGATACGTCGCCATCCCGAGAGCTTCTTCCCTTAATTTACAACTCGCAGTAAAACTCGTTCGGGGATGATCCTCTTTGGCTTTTTGTTAGGAGGATGATGAGGAGGTGGGGGGATTGCAATGGGGAAAAAAAGGAGGTGTTCGCATTTCGGGCATCTTGGATTTTTTTGATGACGTAGGTCGGTACAGCGACTTTTATCATCGATTTTCTTGGAAATGGTGTAATTTATGGAAAAAAGTCATTCTATAAAAAGTGCTGGAAATTATATCGTGAGTTGATTTACGCAAAAAAAATTGGACATTATGGTCCGCTTTTCATACTTCGAATTCCGTATTTCGCTGGCTAGGTTGTGACGACCTACGTCACAGGGTAAACAAACCTCAAGATGCACACACCTCCTTTTTTTCTCTACGGGAGGATCGTGACTATCGCATATTCCGTAGCCTCTCTGACGTAAAGGCGTATCTCAATTTCCACGCGCACGGTGGAAAATTTCCGTGTTTGACGTCCCTCTGTGTTACTATTATCGTGTTACTATTTTTGTATCAGGTGAAGGTGAAGTTAAAAGGCTTGGCTACTCAACACAATAGAGACTGGAGAATTCGCAAGCAATTTTTTTATTGCTTCATCTGAAAGTGCTTAAAGAGCTGATTTCACAGTATTTATAATAATTTTCTTCTGACATGGGAAATGCTTTAAAAATAGATTTAAGAGTAAGAAAATGCACCGCCTAGTGAAGCCATCTTATTTCCCATTTAAACACATGTATTTTAGCAGAATCGGTTATTTTGTCATAACTCCTCTACTAATTGTTCAATTTATGAACGAAGGGTATCTACTAATTGTTCAATTTATGAACGAAGGGTATCTCCGTGTTCAGTTCTTTCAGTAGATTCCACATAAACACGAAATTCATCAAATTTCAGACCCTTGCAAATTCTCCATTTGCAGGTGTCTGAAATTTGACGAATTTCGTGTTTATGTGGAAACTAATGAATGAACTGAACACGAGGATACACCCTTCGTTTATGAATTGAACAATTGTTGGAGAAAATATGACAAAATGATCTAATCTGCTAAAATACATTTGTTCAAATGGAAAATGCCGCCAGATAACACTTTTAAATCTATTTTTATACTATTTCCCATATCAGAAAAAATTATAAAAAATACTGTGAAATCAGCTCTTTAAGCACTTTCAGATGAGGCAATAAAAAATTGCATGCAAATACTCCATTTTTAGATTAAATCGACTCAAACTGTAGGCTACTCTCAGACATCGAGCTCATTACCGGGTCGACTAAATCATGTATCATTAAGTTGTAAATCAAGCTTCATAAGTTGCGGTGCTCACCAGTAACGAAAAGGAAGGAAAAGAATTAAAGAGATACTTACACATACTCCATTTCGCTCTTTGTTGTTGCACCGTCGGGCCATTCGGCATAACATATACTTCGCGTTGTACTATCCGAGAAAGTAATTGTAAACGTAGTGTAGAACAAGAGTTGCGGCAGCGATAAAACAAGGCCTATTATCCACGTCGATGAGGCTATGCATAACGTCATGTGTCGGCCCATCCTGGGCCGTAACGGATAGATGATCGCCATATACCTGCAAAAAAGAATAGAAAGAAAATCAAAATTAATTCTGGAGCAAGATTAGTCTACACTGGAAAAAAACTACATTGGATCTTGAGTCTAGACTCTTGAAAATATTGACAAGAAAAAGGACTCTTGATTCAATCAGATTTAAGCTTAAATCAAAAGAAAATCCGCTCAAATTAAGAGGCTTGGTTCTTAGTTTAAGCTTAAATCTTATTGAATCAAGAGTATTTTTTCTTGTCGATGTTTTCAAGAGTCTGGACTCTAGATCCAATGTGTTTTTTTCTAGTGCATTCTATTTCCTTTTGGATAGAGGATAGCACAATGTAGAATCAGCAATTTGAAAAATTAACTACCTTTCGCTTTTTCAGTTATTTTTTATTCTCTCCAATTAGGAGAAAAATCTCTGTGTCAACCAGTAGAGACGTTTGATGAATTGGACCACATTCTGCAATTAGGAGCGAAAATTTCCGGCTCGGTTTAGTAACAAGTACCATTGGGTATACCTACCGTTAAGATAAGTTTTTCTTTTATGGATGAGCCAAAAACCGTATTCCTTAATTTTAAAATGCAGCCCACTTTGCCTCGAACACTGAACTTCTATTAAGCTAATCGATATTTCCAGGCGACGAAAATTATCGGTTGCCTCAAAAAGGATTCGAGCTGTCTCAACGATAAATATAATACGAAAGATATTTTTTGGACGATGCAATCGCTCTAAACGGAAATCCTCCTCCACGAATGAGCTCGAGCTTATCTATTTTTCATTTCTCACCCTGAAAATAATCATTCAGCTTTCAAGAGTATTTTACAAGACGATACAGATATTTAAAGGATATAATTTTGTAGAAACATTGCGATTTCATACAGGGCAAAATCCGTGCTCATTCTCGAGAAGTATGCTATCCCGTCTCGAAAAACGGCAATCTTCGTGAACTTGCCGCTCCATTATGTCTAATCCTTCACGCAAATATAAATATCAATACTTTAGCGGAAACAAACAATAGTATTGAACTTTTCCCAGACCCATTCGTGCGGAAGGAGTGTATCATCAGAGAGCTACCATTAGAAATAGATTCATTTCGCATAATGAGAACATCGAATAAGCGAGTTTTAACCTCAAACTTTTCATGCAAATTTTGCTAAACACTGGAATTCAGATTTGGCTTGAATTCAACATAAACTTCCTACTTCCAGAACAACTATCGTTGCAAAATGTATTGAACATTGATAAATTATAAATATTAAAACAGTTTCCTAGCCTCGTATTACTTCTTGAGGTGAAGGCTGATTAATTTTCTTGGATATACAATCAGGCAAAAGATCGCGAGAAGATTCGGTTGAAGATGTTGACTCACTTCTAACTTCCACTACAGCAAAACGAAATTCCCTCCGGGCGACGGATCGCCTGCAGCAACATTTTGGTCTTCATGCTGGCACAATTGACGACCACATCCAAAATTATCGATTCACCTCCCGAGGTGAAAGGGTAAAAAAAAAGCAATAAGCAACTTTCTGTGAGTTTTCCTCAATTATAAAGGATTTACCCTTAAAATTTTACACCAACTGATTGCGGAGGACGCATGAGTCGTAAGACGGTATGTTGGAGTTTTTTAGCCAACGTGCGTTAAACTCAGCATAAAGCTGTTATCTCACTATACTTGCCTTCCTAAATGGTTGTTACTAGTGTTGCACCAAACAGTGTATCTCTTTGAGGGAAAATTTTGCTCGTGTGTTAGCTTTCTTCCTCTGCAGTGAGATATCAACTTTATGCTGAATTTAACGCACGTTGGCTAAAAAACACCAACATACCGTCTTAAAATTTTAAGTCAGAGTGATGCTTTGTTTTCCAAACATGAAACATAAGAGGAAAGTAGGCAACGTCAAATGTACTTAGGCTGATTTCGGTTAAATCCTTTCGTTTACCCGTGTGTCGGGTTAAGGGGCCTTGATACGACTATTCGTACTTGGTGGATGTCTATTTTGCATATACGATTAATTGAAGGCGTTTTTGTTCCCGAGACGCACTCGGTCTTCTGCAGTCGGTATCATTGTTTGATAATACCTGAATGCAACAATTTTTGATCAATAGATGTTTACCAAGGAGCAAGCCCCCTGGCCGTTACGCGGCCCAACCTCTAACCGGCGATTTGCGCAATCTAAGAGATAGCTTCGCCAATCCCTGTGAGTAAATCTAAATAAGGCGGGCTCATCTGGGAACTACTTCTTATTGATAGCTGCAGAAATCATTGAAAAATAGCCTAATAGATACTTAGAACGAACTGTGACAAAAAATTAACTTATATTTTGTTAAAATTATCATAACTTAATCACGAATTGTTAAAAAAAAAACCTGGGTCATATTTCCAAAATTTTAACAGAGTGGGCTTATTTTGGGACTATCTTTTGTCAGTAACCGTTAATATTATGAAACTCGGTAGTATAAATTGTGATAAAAACGGGTTTAGGGGTTCAAGGAGCTTATAGTAATGATGGAGTTGAGCCAATCACAAATCACCTCAGGTGTGGCAATACTCTCCCTATGTTGGGACTCGGACGTAGGACTAAGGACCTGAAAATTTTTGAGGATACATTTAAATTTTTTTTGACGATGATCTTCATCGCTGAAAATTTGAAACCAATTTTATAGGTACAAAGATCAAAATACGATTCAACAATGATCACATCCCGACAACGAATCCTCTTCAACAAACGTTCGAATGAGCTCATTGTCGGCTCAAGTGGAATACGTTTTGCAATAAGGAACCACTTATTTCTAGCTCATCCATATGCATCCCTATCTGCTCGGAGAAAGTAATGATACATATGTTGTTTCTAAAATGAACGAGAACCAGTAGTTCCTCATTGCAAAATTTAGTCCAATTACAGTGTAGGCTGTTGCTTGAGGAGTCCTCGGTTGGTCAATGAATGCATGGTAGCGCATTCGGGCCCTCGTAACAAGTGCGTAAGTGGCGAGGCGTTGATGATCGAATATCGATATTTCTCCATTTGGAACTACGGTAAGGAATCGATTATTAAGGTGTTCGTTGCGAATACGCTGCCAATCGATCCTTTTCCACAGGTTTAAACGGTAGATCAATCGATACATCGCAAAGCAAGCCACGCCGCTGAAGTGCATGCATCAACGAGTGGATTCCGGCCGCTCTCAATAAGTCTCCGCATCCGGGCGCCGCGCCGTGCAAAATTAATAATGGATCTCCTCCGTCCTCAGGAAAAACGCCTCATGGTCATTACAATGTTGCCGGATTTTCTAAAATAAAACACGACAATCCCCAAACACACACACACAAACTCCCGATTTTTCTCTCAAATTTTTTTAGCAAATTGTAATCGCTCTTTATTCCGATAAAGCTGAATTATTAAAGCAAAAATATTCACTTTTCTATAACAAAAACAATGAATTTTTTTATCGAAAGAAATCTGGCAACTTTCGAAAGTTCATACGACGTTTCTTCTTAGCGCGACGGATCTGTCATTATGAGCCCTCGCCCTGATTAATTGCTTATGTGAGTGCCGTTTGCGGCTTTTTCACCCGAGCATCGATTGGACGGTGCTGAAGTAAAAGAATCCTATCTGCATTATAACATGAGCCCTCGATTCCATAATGAACTATTGTTACGGAGGCTCGTGCTGCTTGGTGGATGCTTTTCTTTTGTTGAACTTTGTCCAATTAGAAGTCGCACTTCTCTGGTTTTGGCTCCGGGCATAAATATTAATCGAACCTCGCAAAATGTAGTTGTTTTGGGGGACGTCCAAACAAGTTCGGACGAAAGTCTAGCAGCGATTCAGTGTGGGTCGCTATACCTGCCAGCGGGCTGATTATTGAAACTGATGGACAAATCAATAGACAAAGAAGACATAGGGAGTAAGGAGCAATCCTATTGGTTGGAATGGGTGCTTCCTTTAGACTGAGGGATAAAATGATGGACTAACTAAATAGGATCTCTCGTGGATTGTCGTTGGTTAGTCATTTTTCTTCCTCCTTTGTCCATTGCAACCACCCGCTTCCGCCAATAGGATTCATCCATACCTCTCTTGTCTTTTTTGCCTATTGCTTTGTCGATCAATTTCAATGATCGGCCAGCAGGCTACCCAAGAAGACATTATCGGCTAAATTTTTACGTTGATTTTTTTTTTCTTCAAAAAAACTTAGCAATGAGTCAGTTGCGCTGGTTATGGAAACGTCTTTTGATGGTTTCAGCTTTTTTTTTAAAAAAAAAGCAATAAGATCCGTTTAAACGCCAGGTTTTTACGTAAAATATTGACGAAGATATCGCCTCTCAAAAAACATAGTGATTGACATTGAAAGTGTGAGACCATTTTCTTGCCTCGATGCGAAATGATGCAATTTGACGGGTGAACACGCTTGCCCGTGCTTGGTGACTGCCTACGACGCACACAATTTTGTAAACCATATAATTTTCCCCTTTAGTCTATAACACTCACCCGTTTCGATCAATATGATCACTTCATTGTCCTCTTAGTCTATTATTTGGATTACACTTTGCAATAAGGAACCGATATCTCTGGCTCTCCCATAAAAGCACATATTTGCATAGGGAAACTATAATAACATGTATGTATGTTGTTTCCAAAGAAGGGTCAGGAATAGTGGTTCCTCATCACAAAATTTAATCCATTTTACCTTTAAACTCTGGAAAGAAAACATTGGATCTAGAGTCCAGACTCTTGAAAACATTGACAAGAAACAATACACTTGATTCAATCAGATTTAAGCTTAAATCAAAAGGAAATCCGCTCAAATTAAGAGGCTTGGTTCTTGATTTAAGCAAAACTCCGATTGAATCAAGAGTATTTTTTCTTGTCGATGTTTTTAACAGTCTGGATTCTAGATCCAATGTGTTTTTTTTCCAGTGAATTTTAATAATCAACCCGCGTGAGCGTACGAGTGCCTATTTTATTTTCTTCAGTAAAATTTAGCAACGGCTGCATGTCCTTACGACGTTATTTCTAAAGACGGCAGTATGA